CCTCTCAGGGCTCTGAGTATAGACAAATCCATGCTCAAAGTATTGCATCAGAAAGAAGGGGCACCCAGAATCTGGGGTGAGAATGGGTGCAAATGCCCTAGGGAGAGTGGCATAAGACATTTCTCAATGCACAGGAGTCCACAGAAACATCCATATGTATACCCCTTTACCCCCAAAGACTCTACAGAGGCCATGTCCATCCCAGGAAACCTGGGGGCAATTCTTGGCACCTGCCCCCAGTGAATCCAGTTTCTCCCTGAAGTGGTGGATGGAGTCTGTCCATTTTATATGCCCAATCACTTCATTCTATCTTCTTCTCCCTGCGCTGAGTGGGCTGAGGCAGGCAGGCAGGCAGAGCATTGGGTGGCCATGCTAGGGCCTTTACAGTAATGCCTGTGACATGGGGTCCTTGGATTTGCTTTCTTGGTTGGATGGAGGCCTGCTGTTCCAAGGCTGTTGGTGCCCAGTGCAGGAGAGTTGTGAAAGCTGTCATCTATGCTGGTGGGGACAAAAAACTGGATATTCTATAGTCAGGTGCTGAACTCTGATCCTGGTCCATCCCAGAACTCGCTGCCCATCATGGTGGGCTCCCACATCACTTCGACACCATAAGGAGTGGAGATGGCCCCAAGTGAAATTGGGGCAGGGTCTCACTCAGGCCAGGGCAGCCAATATCCCCAGGGCCCCAGAGGTTCAACACTCCACTCCCTCTTCATGCCTGTGCTGGGTAGCTTCAATAGTTAACTTGACACACGTAGTTGGAAGGAACCTCAATTGAGGAATTTCCTCAGATGTATTTGCCTGTGGTCATGTCTGTGGCACATTTTTTCTTGATTATTGGCAGATAAGGGAGGGCCCAGGGCATCATGGGTGGTGCCACCCCAGGGCAGGTGTTCCTGTGTTGCATAAGGAAGTAAGCTGAGCTCAGCCCTATGGAGCACCAGTAAACAGAGTACCTCCATGACCTGTGCTCCAGGGTGCTTTCCTGAGTGCCTGCCTTGGTGTCCCTTGGTCATGGATGGTGAGCTGCAAGGCAGGTGAACCCTTTATCCCTAGGCTGGTTTTGGTCAGTGTTTCAACACAGCGTTAGAAAGTTAACTAGGACAGACATTGGTATCAAGAGCTGAATATTGATGTGTTGGACTTGATCACTATGTGTCTGAAGATTGTGGATTGTTTTCATGCTTAGGACAGGAAAAATGCTTGGAAGTCAGTGAGATACTCTGTTAGAAATTGGAAGATAATGCTGATGGAGGTGCATACACCGGAGGCTCTATCAGGGATACATGTGATATATTTTGAGTTATGCTTTTTGGAAGTGAAACCTTTTGTGCTTTCCTGGGATAATCCACACTGACCAGCTGAGGCTGAAAAATCAGTGACGAGTAACAGGAGATCCACGTCATTGACTGAAATCTTCTGGAAGTATTTCATAACGGTGCACACAGACACTGTGGTCCAGAGGGGTCCAAGGCTGCATATTATTCTGGCAGCAGAACTTATCAATGTGTAAGAGTCTCTCAGGTGGTACTGGTGTTGAAGATGTGAAAGGTCATGGAGAGAATCTTTGCACCCAGAGAGGCCATTGGTGAAGGTGCACGCTCAGTTGCAATGAAGACCCCAGAATACTGAAGCTATCAGGACATTGGTATCCACACCAAGGGCAAAGTAGAGAAGTGGAGCTGCCCATAACCTACAGAGCCCAGAAGATTGTGATTGAATCCCAGATATTCAGCATTCAGCTACGTCGCTAGATCTTGGTGCGGCATAAAGTTCTACCCTTTTGAAATAATCAGTATGTAACTTATTTTAATTTTACAGGAGTCCACAATTGATAGACTTTAGATGTTTTTAAACAGAAATATTAAGCTTTAAGAGTGTTTGAATTTTTTCCCATAAGCAAAGGATTACTAAAGATTTTATTTGTACACATATGGTCACAATTTTTCCTTTAAAAGATTGTTGGGAAATGTACATAAGGCCACTTGCAAATGTACATCATGTTAGTGTTATAATGTCTCATGTTCAAACAAGAAACATGTTATCATACAGATTTGCTCTTACTGAGTGGAGGCTTTTTAAGTATGCATAGTAGGCTGTGCATAATACCTAGACTTCAATTGAAAGTGATCCAAATCCTAGCATGTCCGTAATATTAACAAAGTTAACAACTATGTCATAAAAATATTTTCCACAATAAAAAGAAAGCTTGTTAATTCTTCTGAAACCACATAATGGTTAAAAAAAATTAACAACCACTATCGATTTGGTTAAATAAATTTATATTATACAATACTATATTGCCAGGTTAAAGAGGACAGAGATGTATATGTACACTAAAAAGCAAATATTTCCCAAAGAGATAAAAGAAATTCCATTTACAGCATGAAGATTTACAAATCTACACCTGTATAACCAAGAAAGAATGTCACTTCTAAATTAGCAAGGCTTGTACACTTGGAAGTGTTTGAATTTTTAAGGGCTGTGCGAATTCCAAAGTTATACTGTTTAATATTATAATACTAATATTGACGTGAGATCTTGGGGATAAGAAATAGAAAGGTAGTGGTTGAAAGTTCACAATGGGTGAATTGTGCTGAATAGATTCAGCTGTCAGCTTGATGCATCTAGTTGGAGGGAACCTCAATTGAGAAATTCCTCCATTGGACCGGCCTGTGGCCCTCCCTGTCTGTGGGGAATTTTCTTGATTATTGGGTGATATGGCAGGGCTCAGCCCACTGTGGGCGGTGCCACCCTTCCGTAGGTGCTCCTGTGTTATATAAGGGAGCAGGCTGAGCACAGGCTAGGAGAGCAAGCCAGTAAGCAGAGTACATCCAGAGTCTGTGCTACAGGCCCCTTCCCAGAATTCCTTCACTGGCTTCCTTTGAAGATGGACTCTGTGACTTAAACCAAATAACCATACTCTCAAGGTTGGTTTTGCTCAATGTTTTACCACACTAATATAAAACTACCTAGGAAAATGCCCAAGTTTAAAGCCCCAACTCTGACATTTTCGGCTCCTGAAATACTTCCCACTAAATGACACCAGAGCATCATATCCTTTGCTGATTGCCCATTGGATTCTGGGAAGAAGTATCAATCTACTCCATAGCTCCCTAACCCATCTCCCTCAGATTTTATGGGCTCTAAACCTTATGTTCACCTCTAAGAGAAGGAGTAGATCATAACTATATATGGGGGAAATGTGTATGTGTGTGCATATTTACATGTTTCTACATAGGCAAACATTCAAGTCTACATGTCCTTCCATTAGTATGAGTATGTGTATGTCCCATGGTGTGTTCCCCACACTATCTGTCCTGAACGTCTTTATGTTCTCATGTCTGCTTATGTCTATTTATGGTGTGTGTGACTTTGACTGAGCCTATGTGGTCACTGCCATGAATGTGCCTTCCAAGGATTATATTAGTCAAAGAAGAAACTCGTGCTGGCTCTAGACTACATGGGGAACACTGTCTAAATATATGGAATGCTTCAGGACTTTGAATGTCATTCTTGCACAGGAGCCATGATAATCTTCTCTATAGTGTTCTAATTTTAGTATATGTGCTGCCAAAGCTAGAACTAATCATGTCGATTTTTACACTTAAAATGCAGATATTTATGAAAATCATCAAATTGCATAACTCTAAAAATACTGTTACTTATCAACAAGACTAGTAGTTGATTTGCATTTGAAATTTCTTCTTTGCACATTCATATTTGTGAGTGACTATTGAAGAGGTTGTGAGTTGTGGAACACTTGCCTAACAGGCCCGAGGCTCTAGTTTTAAAGCCACAACATCCATCTGGTGGTAGGCACCTGCCACCAGTGAGGGTCTTCAAGTTCCCAGTGATGGTCTATGTATCTCCTTAGTGTACATGACTGTGTACAATGAGAAGGACTAAACGTTGTGAGAGAGTCTTCCCATTTTCATATCTGTGATTGACACAGAAAAACAAGTGCTCACAGACTATTTATTTCCAATGGTGTCTCACTGGCCTGTAACTTGCTAAGTTGTCTAGGCTGGCTTTTGAGTGAGCTCTGGGGTCTGCCTCACACTGTCTCCCTAGTTCTGAGTATACTGTAATATAATATCTATATCACCACTGCTGATGTCAAGGTATACTACAAAACTCTAGTTATAAAAAGCACATGGTACTGGCACAAACATATACACAGAGATCAATGAAATAAATGGAGGCTCTAGATATGAGTACAAACAACCACACAACTACAGCTACATGGTCTTTGACAAAGATGCCAAAAATATATACCGGATAAAAAACAGCATTTTCAAGAAATGCTATTGGGAAACAGGGATTTCAGTGTGTGGAAAAATGAAGCTAGTTCCCTACCTCACACCTGGCCACGAATTCAACATAAGACATGCTACCGTAAAGTTGCTAGATGTAAAGGTGGGAAATTCTTTTAAGTTAATAGGCACAGGTGCAAGCTTTCTGTATAGGAATTTCATAGTATAGGAAATAAGACAATTAGCAAATAGGATCTTATGAAACTAAAAAGCTTCTGAACAGGAAAGGAATCTGTCAGTTGCCTGTGGAGACAGCCAACAGAATGGAAGAAAATCTTTGTCACCTATAAATATGACAGAGGGTCAGTGTCTAGATAATGTACAGAACTAAGGAGACTAAATGTTAAGAAAGCTAACAACCCAATTAAACATGAGCAATGTAACTGAAGAGAAAAAAAAATCTGTAAAGGAGAATTACTAATGGCAAGAAACACCTAAAAGAGTGTTCAACATACTTGCATATAAGGAGAATGCAAATTAAGAGTATGTAAAGTTTCTGTCTCACCTTAGTCAGAAAACCACCAACACAGAAACTAACGGCATGTTTGTGTTGAAAGGGGGACACTTAGGCAATGTTGACAGTGTCCGAATTACTGCAACCACTTTGGAAAGCAATCAGGCGTTTCTCAAGAAAGCTACAACTAGAATTACCATTTGACTCAGCCACACTACTACTGTGAATATGCCAAAAAGAGTTTATTTCTTATTTCAGAGATGCTTATAATCCATTTTCATTGCTACTTGCCCACGAGAGCAAGGAAAGGGAGCCAGCTCATGTGTCCATCACGTCCTGGATGGTTAATGAAAATGGGGTACGTATACACAGTGCACTGGTACTCAGCCATCAGGAAAACATGAGACCATGAAACTTGCAAGAATCAATGAAACTGGAAAAGTTATGCTTACTGGTTTTATCCAGGCCACAACTCCTAACAGAAATCTGTTCATCTTGGGAATGTTCTTCTCTTATTCTTGGCTGAGAACCCTGATGCTCAAACAGCTTGAGAGGTCAGTGTGTGTGCAAGGCTCTCTTCTCAAGTCTGCTGTGGGATAGACCCACAGGGAACATGTACTGGATCTACCTCCTTCTGAGGATTCTGTTGTAGAAATTTCTCTCTCATCAGAAAGTGTATATCAGGTTCTGCACGACAAACTGTCACTCACATCAGGTATTTGTGTCTTTATTATGAAACATTCCACAGTAAGTAGCAGTAGAGGATATTTCATCCTCTCTATCTGTTATGTGGCTTTTAATGTCACAACTCTGATTTTTAGCTCATCATTTTATCTGACCAATTAACAGATTAATCATGTTATACAGACATACATCCTTTGTACTTGCATCATCTGTTCATTTATCACTCCATCCATCATCCACTATCCTTCTATTCATTCACCCATCTTTCTTCCATCCATCCTTCTGTTCACTCACCCAGGCATCTCCGTTCCACCCCCCCATATATTCATTCATCCATCTTCCATCCATCTTTCCAATCATTCACCCATCCATCGTAAGGTGTGTGCTGATCCAAGATGGGATAGGATCCCTATGACCCAGGGAAGTCTGAGAGCTACGATGACAGGCACTAGAGAGTCTCAGGGAAGAAGCTCCAAACCCCAAATCTGAGGGGAGGAGGATCCCAGGAGATCCAGTGTATAATGAGAACTGAGATGGTGTGGATTGACTCACTCTGCCAAGACATGGTACATGGTGATTAGTGATGGGACAGGGTTCCTGTGACCCAAGGAAGCCTGAGAGCTGAGATGGTGGGATGTTAGGGAGATACAGGTAAGGAGATCCAAGCCACAAGTCTTGGAGGAGGTGGTATGCCCAGACCCCAGGCTGAGATAATTATTGACAAGGTTTTTGCTTTATTTATAAAATGTAGAAACATTAGTTATCTCTACAACAGGATCATGTGATCGCCAGAATTTCTGGGAGGCATGTGGGCTCTGCAAATGACTGTCCACCTAGGGCATGTTGTATCCCTGGGTATCTCTCCATTGGGAATTGAGTCAGAGCCTTCCAGGACCATGGACACCACGGCAGAATGCCCACTGGACTCATCTTGGGCTTCTCTGACTGGTCGTCCTGAGGCACAGTTTTCACTCTCTTGATGCCATGAGGTTCATCTGAGCCTTTCTCTGTGTCTTCATGCATAGTTGGGCATAGGTCACATTCAGGGTCCCACAGACCTATCAGCCTGGAGTGGGAGAGGGTGAGAGGAAGATGTTGCCTGGTGTTGGTCACCTGGGGCCTGAGGAAGACCTGACCCACTTCACTGTCCATCTCTATGTCTTCCATTGAATTGAGTAATTTCCTTGACGTGGTGGAAGGAGAGGTATCTGCTGCCTTCCTGAGCCTTAGGAGTTTTACCTACACAAACAACTCTTTCAAGGGGTCTTCTTCAGGGTGGTTCTGCAGCATGAAGACAGTGAGACAGAGACAGTGTCTCACGGATTTCCTGGGGTCTTCTCCAGTCAGAGTTCTACAGAGTGACCAGTTATTCTTTAGACCATAAATAAGACTATGGCATACTTATGTGGTCTTCTAGGTCTTTCTAAGTACTTGGATTGTCTGGAAGCTTTGTTCCTCCACGTCTGACCTCATTTTCTGATACACTCACTCTTATAACTTCAGTGACTCAATCTGTTTTTATGAGAGAGCATGCTCCTGCTCCAGGACCCACATTCATGCCGCGTCTCCTGCTGGCAAGTGCCGTTCAATAGATACCTGTTTGGGCCTCTGCATTGAAGCTTCTCTTCAGAACACAGCTCTCAGAGTCCCTGTTTTTAATTCACTCAGGCCCTGTCTGCCCCACACACGTTCTCTGCATCATTTGCCTAAGCCACTTTGTAGTCCTCACACCACACTGCACAGCTCCTACCTGGAGCCTGGTAAAGATGGATCTCCAAGGTCTAGGGAGATGCCTCAGCCAATGAAATGTTTGCTATACAAGATGAGGATGGAAGCATGATCCGCGTCACCCTGCCACGTAATGTTTAGGCAAGGCCACACAAGTCTCTGATCCCAGCCCTGGAGAGAAAGAGACAGGAGGATACCTCAGATTGTTGACCACCTAGTCTAACCACATTACTGAGTTCCATATTCTGAGGTTCCGTGAAAAATCTCTCTCAAAAAAAGAAAAGGTGGTGATCAGTTGACGAAGTGACGAAGTCACCCTGCCCTCCACACAGGTGCATTTACACAAATACGTATCTAAAAGAAAAAATGAGAGAGGGAGCTCCCTGTGAGTCACTGGGAGATGAGTCCAGGGGCCACAGGTGTAGGAGGTGTAATTAACTCATGTGTCCAACTGGTTCTCCTATAAGGGCTGGATATCAAACCCAATGCCTCAGCCATGGGAGATACTCACTGTACCACTGAGCTGTAGTTCAGCCGCTCAGGTGAATTTGGGAACATAGTAACAGCCGGACAGATGTTACAGAAAAGGCAGAGAAGGGCCACATCATCCCAGGAAACAGGGAAGGACCCTGGACCAAATTGGGCCAGAAGCTCCTCAGCACTGTCAGCTGGAACAGGGTCTCACCAGATTGTCCAGTTCCACTCTGTCCTTAGGCTGTGCAATACTCACAGAAGCATCTGTTGTGGAAGAACAAGGTGGATGCCTCTTGGATAGAGTCCTGGGATCACTCAGCTCCTTAGATCCCTGTGCTGTCCCACATGGGGATAGAGCTAAGAATTGTGGTGATGCCCTCAGGAGCATAGTGAGGGCTCAGTCCCATGGAGCCATGACCACAGACCCTCCCCATCATCTCCATGATGCCAAGACCTTAGGTATCTCCCTCCCTATGGCCCTCTATTCTCACACGGGATGTCTTCTTTGGTGGCAGCAGCTGGACAGGATCTGGAGAAACAAAGAGGTGTCATTGGGCAGTGAGAGGTGGGAGGCAGGTGGGAATCTGGTGACTGGACATTAGTTACCTCTTCTGAGGACCTCTATGCCTGGACACTGGCTCCTCAGCTTCTGCAGGTGGATGTGCATCACTTGTTTTCCTCTGGGATTCAGAAGAGAGAAGATCCTCAGCTGGGGGGTAGAGTTCCTCCCCCCAGCACATGAAGGTAAGGAAGGGAACTTTTCCACATTTGGGGCAAGTGTGCAAATGTTCCAGGAGATGAAAGCTCACAGAATCCCTGATATTTGCACGTGTACTAAGATCACATGTGCCTGATCTTGAATTCCTCATAAGTGTTTCTGGGCTGACCTGCCCAAATCTGGCTGGTTCCTTTAGAGCTGCTGCCTTGAGG